TGTAAATTCTCAACAAAATTGCAAGCTCTCTGAGAGCAGGGAGTCTGTCTCAGCATTCTTATGTCCCACCTTGTAGCATAATGGCAGACACAGAGAGATGTTCAGTAAATATTTGGTGAATGAACACATAGAGGAAACAAATAATTGCCTAAGACTGAGATTTCACATGTTAATATTATTTGCTTTTAGTTTATCTCTCTGTCCCAATTTGGCATTGCATTTGCACCAAATGTAATCATATAAATGGGAAAAAAATGCTAAGATGTAAGAAAACCATCTATAAGGCCTTTAATAATTCTAAGAACCAAGAAGAAAACAGAGTAGAGAAACTGGCAAGAGTACAGTTAACGCGTTTATATATTCTTTGTGTTTTACGGTGAAAATATGGATTTCTTGATGTATGTCGTGTCCCTGTAATTTGGAGGCTAATGTGTGCAATTTCTTGTAAAAGAGCTCTTTAGAGTCTCAACCTTAGGAAATAAGTAGCTTTCTTAGTCTCTAATCAGGGGATCTTGAAAACACAAAATACAATTGTTTAAAGAGGAAAATAAACATTTTCCATCAAACCATAGACCTTATGATTTTTTAAGTCCCGAATTGCTTTGTAGATCAAGATTGGCCTATTTATTTTAATGGCAAGCTCTTGGAAAAATCTTGGAAGTTAATAATCAAGTTAATGTAGCACTTCTAAAGCACACTAATTTTGCATTTATTTTAATAAATCTTACTATACCCATAATACACAACTGAGAGGTATTATAACCCAGATAAAGTCACTTTTCTTGTGTAGGAACTACAAAATGAGAGTTGTAATCCATGTGTCAAAAAGTGATTTTATTAAAAATTATCAATTGTCATGAGACTGCTTCTGTTTCTGAAAAGGTCTTGGTACCTTTACAAATGATCTCTCTGTTGGAATCAATCTTTGAACCAATGACAAAATTGTATCTATTATCTGCTTGGATACACTTGATTCAGTTAAAATTTTTCTAAAAAATAAATTACGTGCTGTAAGAATTATAGGAAAACAACATTTACAGCTATTGGTTGACAGACTAATTGTTCACGGAATTTCTTTACATAATTAGGGCTTCTACTAAAGTTAAAAAGAACTTCCTGTGCTTGACATTTGGATTAACATTTGGTGAGGGAAAGTGTACCTTTTCCCCAAGTTTCTGTAATCCACGTGTACAAACAGCGCTTTGTAGATAAACTTCCAAGAAATTCATTGTCACATTTGCCTGCTGTGTTTAGAGCTGGGACATGGTTGGGTTTGCAAGATGAAACAAATGAATGCTTATCAGCCCCAGCCTAGGTTTTCGTTAATGTCCTTCCATGCCCCCCTCCCCCATCCTACCACCCATTGCAGTTAAAGTTCAACCATTTGGGTTTTAAGTGCAGCCCAGCGAGACCACAATTGATACCATCAGGCACATAGACTGTGCTTTGCTAGTGGGTCAGACAGCCAGGCAAGAAGAAAGCAGTGCCAACCCTATTATAAAATTCCTACTTGATAGGATAACTCTGGTAACATAACATAGCAGAAAAAGAAGGTAGGGTCTTGTGTTGTTTACTTTTTGTAGAATCAGGCTGCCATGAATCAAAGAGGGCCCACTGGATCTTCTACTAAGGACCTTTCTCCATGAAGAGGACCTCAGTCTGACTGTCTCCTGGTAGGGTCCAGTGTGCTGTAGCTCATTTCACCATTAAGACCTTCTCTACTGGATGGCTCATTGTTACAGCTCCTCCAAGAACGATTTAGTGCATGTATCGCAGAATATTGCCAGTAAGCATCTATTATTTCCATAGATCTGTCCTATTCAAGTGGCCCTTATAAATATACATATTTTATCAGCTAAACTTTCTTAGCTGAGACCTTGGGCTGACAAGTCCACAATTAATACTGCTTCCTGCCTGTCTGGGTATATGTCTATGGTGAGTAAGCATATGGATCAATCAGTGAGCCAGCCATGAATCCTTTTAGCTTGGGAAATACAGAACAGTTTTCTCTTCTGGCTCCTGCAGGACTCAGGAGGCTTTATGAAGGAAAGGGAAAAAAACCAGTTTGGTTGAAGACTCTGTCAATTACAGCCACCAACAGGAAGATTTCTACATGAAATACACAGCCCCAGATGGGAACAACTGCATAGCTCACCAGAGTGATCATTAATTTGCTGACATAGAGCTGTGTTTATTTATACATTCTGGCCAAGAAAAACCCCATCGCCAATAAGACAATCACAATTAAAGAAGTCAAGTGTTCCTAGAAAAGTATGCTTTTACTTTCTGACCTAAAGATTGGTGTTTGTGAAGTTATTGTAATCTTTCGTGCATGTGTGTGTGTGTGTATAGTCACTCAGTCGTGTCCAACTCTTTGTGACCATATGGACTTAAGCCCGCCAGGCTCCTCTGTCCAGGGGATTCTACAGGCAAGAATACTGGAGTGGGTTGCCATTTCCTCCTCCAGGGGATCTTCCCAACCCAAGGATTGAACCTGCATCTCCTGCATTGCAGGCAGATTGTTTACCCCTGAGCCACCGAGGAAGCTAGCCTCCAACTTCTGTCATTGCAGGGACCGTTGTTGTACCTGTGCTAGTACCTAGCTCAGTCTCAGAGACGTGGTAAATACCTAAAAATATTTGTGGCGTGAGTGAATGTTCTTTGCAGTCAGGACATCTTCTGTCTCCTTTTACCCTGGAAATTCAGTAGGAAAAACCAGCATGGCATCTTCCTTTTGAGTGGTCTTCATCACTTAGCTCTCATAAATCACTTGACATTTGCATCTCTAGTTTCTCTTTATCTTCCTAAATAATAAACAAATGTTTATGGAATCCCTAATCTTAGCCCAGTGTCTCTGTGGGTTGTGTATTTCACTTGTATCTTTCAAGTTCAGTATTCTGGGTTCTCATGGCCTCTCTACACATGTCTCTCTGGGGAGCCCTGACTACTCTGTATTGATCCTTGCTGGATTACTCATCTGTCTTCCCCTTGGACTGTTAGCTCCATGAGACTGGGATCTGCTTTCTTCTGTATCCCCAGTGTCTAACATTGTGTTCAAAGTACTGTGAACTTGTGTTGATCTTTATAGAATGAATGAATGAAAGAGGAATGAATGAATGGAATGCCCATATTTATGGTTAGATCATCTTTAGGCCTTGTTTCCGGATGCAGCTAGAGAAGTATCCTGTGTCATGGTGTCCATAGTTGTAATTAGCGTGTCACTAAGACCTGTCATCTGGGCTTGACTGCTGTTGATGTGGTGTGCTGCCTTGCTAATGGGTCTCTATTGCTAAGCAAGGGGCTCAGAAAAAGGCGATCTTTATATAGACATAGCACTAAAAATGAGAGATTTGGTTGTATGAATTTCCAAAGGCCAACCAGGGATATGGCCTGAAATGAATTAGATCAAAAATTTGAATAGCCTTTAAAATGCAGCTCCTGGAAGTGGCTCTTTGCTTTCTGCAGGGTGTTTTCTGGGGGTGTTGCTATGATATGAAAGGTTTTAGGACAAGGGTTGAAGGTGAATAAAGATTTCAAAGGGACCAAATAAAACAAGAGTCAGATAATACATCTGATGAGATGGTTTTCAGAATACATAACTGTACAATTTTAAATCAGTGAGTTTAAAGTTTTCTGTTGAATACAAATAATACATGTAGTATTAACTGAAAATAGCATCAAAGATGTAATCTATTGTGCCTGTTTTTCCCCAGAGACTGCCTCTTCTATTCTTGTAGTCACCAGATAAATCTAGGTGCTGACCTTATATCCCTGCGTGCATGCTGTCACTCAGCCATGACTGACTCTGTGACCCACCGGGGTCCTCCGTCCATGGGATTCTCTAGGCAAGAATACTAGAGTGGGTTGCTATACCCTCCTCCAGGGGATCTTTCTGACCCAGGGGTCAAACCTGAGTCTCTTGTCTCCTGCTTTGGCAGGCAAGTTCTTTACCACTAGCACCACCTGGAAAGCCCCCTTAAATAAAGTGGTATATATTGACAACTATAGAAAAGGAGGATAAATTTAGTCATTTGTATTCCTCCTTCTATTCCTCTCAGTATTTTATAATGAGATTATTATCTTTACTTCTGTTGGGCAGTTCCATTTTTTCAGATTCATATCATTTTGCTTGTCTCTCTTGATACCTCATGTTGTAAGATGAGAATGCTGATGTCTTTACTACCCATCCCTCCCTCTGTTCCATGTCTGTCTTTGTCAGCTCTTTTACTTTTTCACTAAGTTGAAAGCATCTTAGCATTTATATTCTATTCTTTGGGGAGGGTTTAAGAATGATTTAACAGGAAAATTGAAAACCAAAGACTAGAAATGACTTGACTGAGATCTGGTTAATGTTAGAACTGGGACTAAACCCTAGGGCTTTTGACTCTCAGTCTAGTGGGCTTTCTAGATACATTCATTGACCTCATTCATCAGATGTTTATTGAATGCTTATTCTCTGCTAGGCACTACATTAAGTACCAGCAATACAAAAATAATAAAAAAATTGTCTAAAATCTTATACTCTCATGAAAATAAGAAAAATAGATGTGTAAACAAATAACTATGTTTTGACGCAATAAGATGCAAAGGAAGATGTTGTGTAGCCTTTTTTTTTTTAATCCCACAGGTCAGAGATTATAGAAATCGATGTAATTGTTAAAAGTTACAGTTTTAATATGTTGAGGAGATACTGTTTCACCCAACTAACTTGTGCATATTTGGAAAATAAGGCATTGCTGATATAAAGAGAAATTCAAATGTCTGTTTCAAGTTTAAATATAAAAGCAAAAATTTTATGTGTTTATAACTAGAAATTATAATAAATCATTTTCATGTATTTAATAATTAGTTTTATGTGAGAATATCCACATATTCTTTAGTTGTCCTTTTAGGTTTGTTTAATATTCTAATTTTAAGTCTAAGGCTTATGCATTTTTTTAATAGATCTTTTTTATGGTGACTTGTGAACTTTTTCCTTTCTTTCTTCCTCCCTCCCTCAGATTTTCATCACCGTGAATTGCCTGAGTACAGATTTCTCCTCCCAAAAAGGAGTGAAAGGACTTCCTTTGATGATTCAGATTGATACATACAGTTATAATAATCGTAGCAATAAACCCATTCATAGAGCTTATTGCCAGATCAAGGTCTTCTGCGACAAAGTGAGTAAAGATGACAGTTTGTCATAAAGGTATTTTTGTTATTAGATATTACTTTTGATGACATTTCCCCCTTGTCACCTTTGCTTGTCTACTGGTGTCCAAATAATCACTTTCATCACAGTAGGAGTGGTAATTTATCATTCTCAGCTCTTAATAGCTATCTAGGGAGCCATCAACTGTATTTTTTTTTTTTCAGTCAATCATTCTACCACTAATTTAATGACTGACTTTGTACTGTGCTATGAGTCTGATTCACATAGATATAACTGATCTAATAGATGGATAGTTTTTGGTGGGTAGGTAGATCCTGTCCCAGAACATACTAAGATAACCTCTTTTATTTTATGGGTTAAATGGGTCTCATCTAGAACCTTTTGGAATGGACATAGCTCCTTTTAAATATGTTCACTAGCAAACATGCTTCAGGAGGAGATGTAGTTTTTGAATCTTCTTGAATCCCCCTGTATGAGATAGATCAATTAGAATAGCAAAGATTAAAATCCCATGATTATGTGGTGAGAGACCCTTGCAAGTCCCAAATGTGAATGGGACCAAGCATCAACAGTTTCAGAACCTGTATGATGTCAGCATCATGAGGGAAAGTAATGGACCCACTTGATGACCAAAGAACGGGACACTACCAAGTGGATCCGTAATAGCAGAGGGTGAAGTGGGCCTTTGGAGGACATCTGGTGAAACTAGGGTAGAAGGGGATGGATTGTGCAGACTTGAGTTTACTGGTGGGTGGGTGCAAGGGGAGAAAACATTGAAGTGTTTGGGGTTCTATAGGGGAAAGTTACAAATTGAAGTTCCCTTCTAGGATAAAAATCCTACTCTGAGAAAAAGCTGCTGGAAGTAGAATCCAAGTTGAGTTAGATAAAAACAAAACAAAGGTTCAAAGAAACGAGAAGTTCCAATTAAAAAGGAAGAGGTGAAAGAAAACAGAGTAGTCAGATCTCAGGAAACACAAGACGATTTTCTGTTATCACTTTGTGAACACAATTAATGTAGGAGCACCAAATGTGAATGGGACCAAGCATCAACAGTTTCAGAACCTGTATGATGTCAGCATCATGAGGGAAAGTAATGGACCCACTTGATGACCAAAGAATGGGACACTACCAAGTGGATCTGTAATAGCAGAGGGTGAAGTGGGCCTTTGGAGGACATCTGGTGAAACTGGGGTAGAAGGGGATGGATTGTACAGACTTGAGTTTACTGGTGGGTGGGTGCAAGGGGAGAAAACATTAAGTGTTTGGGGTTCTATAGGGGAAAGTTACAAATTGAAGTTCCCTTCTAGGATAAAAATCCTACTCTGAGAAAAAGCTGCTGGGAGTAGAATCCAAGTTGAGTTAGATAAAAACAAAACAAAGGTTCAAAGAAACGAGAAGTTCCAATTAAAAAGGAAAAGGTGAAAGAAAACAGAGTAGTCAGATCTCAGGAAACACAAGACGATTTTCTGTTATCACTTTGTGAACACAATTAATGTAGGAGCATGAGGACCGTCAAGCTAGAAGGATTATCCTAGCTTACTCATTTCACTTAGAAATGACCAACAGAAAAGAAAAAGTGTTGAATCCCATACAGTGTCGCATGAAAAATATAATTAAGGTTAGACTAACTTCTTGTGGACAATGAATGCACGCCCCCAAAACAGGTGATACATATTATATCACCTTGTATCTATAGCCTATTGTTCCAGATGGGCTTAGAATTTACAAAATTTTAAAATACAAAATTAACAAAATCATGGAAATTATGAAGAACAACATAAACCACAATTTGAAAAACTCAGACATGAGATGTTTGGAGAACAGAATGACTTGAAAAGAGATATAGTAGAATTCAGGAAAGAATTTAGAAAGTGGAAGAGTAAAATGTTTAGAAGTAAAGACTACTACAAGTAACATGGGAGTAAATGAATGTAAAAGATAATTCCTTAAGAAAAATACAGGTATAAAATGGCAAAATTTTAAGAACTTGAAAAAATGAGGAAACAAGAGAAAATAATAGATACAGAAGACAGAGAAAGGAGATACAAGGACATATAATACTTATCTCTGTGGGAGAAAACATAGACAATGGAATAGAAGAAAAGCTAAAAAAGGATAAATCAGGAAAACTTAAAAATTACACATTTTTAAGTGAGTTACCAGGCACTTGGTAAAGTTGATCGAGGATAGCCAATATCAAAAGCCATTGGACTTTAAAAATATTCTTTGGGCATCTAAGAAAAATAAAATAGACAATGGGTCATTAATTTTTTTCATTAATTTTTACTGGAGTATAGTTGATTTACAGTGTTGTGTTGGTTCCAGATGCACAGAAAAGTGAATCAGCCACACGCACACATATATCCACTCTTTTCCAGACTTTCCTCCCATATAGGCCACCACAGAGGGTTGAGCTGAGTTCCCTGTGTTACGCAGTAGGTCCCTATTAGCCATCTCCTTTATATATGGTAGACAAGGAATCATTTATAAGGAAACTTTTATTATCAAGCCTTTCAACAGCAATGCCTTGTCAGAAGACAATGATATTTAAAGTAATCAAGTAAAGAAAAGGTGAGCCAAGGATTTTACATCCAGCCAGAAGACAATGATATTTAAAGTAATCAAGTAAAGAAAAGGTGAGCCAAGGATTTTACATCCAGCCAAGCTGATTTTCAAGTATAAAGAAAACAGGCAAATGCAAAGCAAAATAAAACAAGGAAACAAAACCACCAGTGAACAACCAACCAAATGGGCAAAATTCCAGGGAATAAATCTCCTCGAGGAATCTAGTAAAAAACTCTGTTTAGACACCAATATAACTGTAAAGACATTGATAAAAGGACTGATGGTGAACATTCCACGTGTTTTTATCTTGGATCTAATGATAAAATGATGGGAGAGATAGGAATGGCAATATGATATGTTCTGACAATAATTAAGATAATTATTTAGTAATTGGGTAGGGTGGGAGAGAATATGAAAAATAGAATAAACTGGCAACTGCTTATAGGTGTTGCTATTATTTTGGTTTCTAAGTCATGTCCAATTCTTTTGTGACCCCATAGACTGTAGCCTGCCAGACTCCTCTGTTCATGGGATTTCCCAGACAAGATTACTAGAGTGGGTTGTCATTTCCTTCTCCAGGGGATCTTCCCAACCCAGGGATCGAACCCGAGTCTACTGCATTGCAGGCAGATGCTTTACTACTGAGCCACCAGGGAGTTGGCTGGATGTAAAAGAGTATGAGTTCAGTTAGATCCTGGGGAGAGGAGAGAAAGGGGAAAAAGCGATTAGTGGCTAATTCAGAGGAAAATGCCAGCACTCTTAATGGTGCTGCAGTCAGATGTAGATCAAAGAGCTATAGGGCCATTAAAATGTCTGAGTTGTTGGTTAGCAGAGTTGGAGAGGAGGACGAAGTGGGCATCTCTGAACAGAAGGCAGAGATGGTCATGAGACAAGAGAAGGAAGCAGATTAACTCGAAATGCACTGAGTTTAGAGACATGTGGCATAATGGAAAATGTCTCTAAAATCTCGATAGCGTTTCAAGTTGCGATGATTTTAATTAGTGCTAATTGTCAGAGCAGCGCAGCCCTCCCAGGCCCAGTTGGGCAGCTTCCATGATATAGAGGAGGCACAGTTCGGTCGGTAGAGACAGTTGTTATGTAGATGAGAAAATTGCCAGTGCCACAGGTAACTCGCCAGAGTCATGTGGTGAAAAAGCAGAGTAGCTGCATGTAAATCCATGTCTGATCCCAAACTCATATTCCTTATATCTTTCCCCCCCCTTTTTCCCCTTATATCTTTAATTCAGCATATTAAATGTTAAGAAAGCATTTTCAAATGATGTACAAGGTGGAATTTTTAAAATACGTGTGGGAGAACAATTAAATGATTTGAATTCCCTTCTTTTATTCCATAAGTTTCAAGGGGAATAGTAGAATCCCCGTCCCTGAATCTCCTTCTTGGAAGGAGGGAGGAAGATTAGGAGCAAGGAGAAAAGGAAGGAAGGGTGGAATGGAGGCACTGGGCAATCCGTTTACCTTTATGTCACAGCTAGAATTAAAAGGATGAAAGGGAAGGCTTAAGAGATGCTTGTATAATTGTTTGTTTCGAGTGTTGATGTAATAAATACTAAAAATCAAAATAAACCATAAAATGCAGAATAAATAGAATGCCGTATTGTTGTTCACTATGCCCTAGAATGAGAGGGACTCCAGGAACTAGTGATGCAAAGAGTCTCTAGTGGGTCTTTTTTTAGTTAACATGATGATAGGGATCAGGAAACTCATAGGGAAGGAATCTCATGGGATAAGCAGAGTATGTTAATCTTAACTGCTCTTAATTTTTCCGATAAGCTAGATGCAAAATCTTTTGCTATGATTCGTCATTATATTTGTAGCCATGAATTCAAAATACAGGCAAAACTCACTCCTGGGACATTTTAACTCTTGCATGTTTCAAATGGGTGTGTAAATGCAAAAGATTAATTTGAATCATCCTCTAAAGCAAAAGAATTAAGAGCTATTCTATTTTAAAACTGTAAATTTCCCACAGATTAGAGTTTTAAACAGATGGAATTTTGTACTATTTATAGTTCCCCAGGTTGATTTCTAATTAATGCACCTATAAGATTGCAGATGAAAATAAAGGACTTCTCTCCCTTTTTTGATATTAAAATTTCTTTTATTGAAATACATATGTTTATGAATTAAAAATTCAGGATCTGCTATATGGCTATATCTTTATCAGTACTTTTGTCTGTATTTTTATGGGCTTAGTCACTCAATCGTGTCCAACTCTTTGTGATCCCATGAACTGTAGCCCGATAGGCTTCTCTCTCAATGGAATTTTCCAGGCAAGAATACTAGAGTGACTTGCCATTTCCTACTCCAGGGGATCTTCCCAACCCAGAGTTTGAACCTGCATCTCTTGGGTCTCCTGTGTTGGCAGATGGATTCTTTACTACTACACCACCTGGGAAGCAGATGTCTTTATATCTGTATTTAATTCAGTTATCTTTCATGAAAAACCAGAATCATGTTACTGCAAAGAATCATGTTCTGAACTATATATTGTTCAGAACTTAAAAATAAAGCCACCTTCTCGTAAGAATTTTCCCCTTCTTTTTTAATTCCTGCTTAGAATTATCTTGGAGATTATAAAAAACTAAAGATATTCCTCCAAAGTACCTTCTTGGTACCTTGGCCAACTTTAAATAGGCTAAGGCCACATTATTGAGACAAATTTAAGAGAAACAACAAGTATCAAATACAAATATAAAGATAGCCATCACCTCTCAAGAGGTGGCAAAGGTGATCACAGTATAATCAGGAAATCTCTAGCATCTTTTTTTCCTTTCTCCAAATTTCACACTCCATAATGAACATCTAAGTGGGGGAAATTATTTTCAAATGATAAATTTGGTATTTGTAGCAAATTATACCCTTCTGGAAGAACCAGACTTTTTTACATTTTAATGAGAGTGAAAATATTTTCCAGAAGCTTTGGGTCACAAATAATCAGAAGAAGGAAAGGAATTCTTGGAAGGTCACGGTCAAGGATGCATTCTTCATCTTAATTGAATGTATCAAAGCTGCCCTGGGTCACTGTGAATCAAAGCGTTATTTTAAATACGAGGATGGTGGCCCTCCTAAATTTGGATACTATCAGAATTGCTTTGGTGTGCTGACATCTGGGCCTTCTGGGCAGGGAGTTTCTTATATAGATGTGGTACCCAGACCAGGCTCTATGGAGAACTACTCCGTGTTTTATGTTAATCCTGCAGGTTTGGCGTATCAAAGAATACCTGTAAAATAATAAGCAGGTGACTTTATTTCCTAAAAATTAACACTGAACATATATAAATCTTGAAATGGTAATTTCAGAACTTTTCTTCACATAAATTGTAGAAGACAAAAGACTAATTTTAAAATAAAATTTCTCAACAAACTTTGGGATGTGTCTTGAGTGAGTTATAATTTATGTAGGTAAATTTCTATATTTTGACTTACATGCAATACTATATTGTACAGAACTTCAAATATAGAGAAAAAAGTCTTACATGTACACAACCAAAAATGAATAATAAGGGCCTTTTGCTTATGTTTCACACCCATCCGAACAAAGTCATCTTTGTGCATCTAGCACTCTATTTTTTTTTCTGAAAATATTATATCTTATCTAGACAAAAATCTCTACAAAACTTTTACTATATCTTGAAGAGATTTTCCAAGGAAATATTTTTATATTTTATCTCTTTCTTTCTATGAATTTCTATGGTTTATAAACATCAGTGACAACTTAAAACTTAAAAATAGAACACTGTAAATGATTAGTCTCTTTTTGGAGTAAGAAGCTTTTTGACATAAAAATGCACATTTATAATATCTGTTTAAACTATTATAAGCATACAAATCTTACCAACATAAAGTTCTTAGAACTTTCCTGGCACAAAGGAAGTGCCACATCTGATTAGCTGTCATCACTTGTTCATCAAGAATTAGCTCTAAAGTCATGTCCTTTATGATGGATGCCTCCATTGGCCACATGTCTCCATGTGTCATGGCCTTACTTTGGCCAGAATTAGGAATATGTTTTTTTTTTTTTTAAAGCCAGTTTGATAAGCAAAATTTATATTTCAATATTTTACTTCTAAACCATTAGCATGTCCCTTTCTGTGAATTGACTTCGTGACTCTTGTCCATTTTTTAACTGGTATGTTAGTTGTTGTTTTCTTTTAAAATTTGAATCATTATTTATATGTTATTGATTTAACACTTTATATGAGATTTTATGGGCTTCCCTGGTTGCTCAGGCCATAAAGAATCCGCCTGCAATTTGGGAGACCTGGGTTCGATCCCTGGGTTGGGAAGATCCCCGGAGGAGGGCATGGCAACCCACTCCAGTATTCTGGCCTGGAGAATCCCCCAAAACAGAGGCACCTGGTGGGCTACAGTCCGTGGGGTCACAAAAGGTCAGACACAACTGAGTGATGAAGCTCAGCACAGCCCATGAGATTTATATAGCAAGTATTTCCACCAGCTTGTCCCTTGCTTTTTAATTGATCTGTGTGTGTTTAACAGAAGGATTAAATTGTATATTCTCAGATCTATCTCTTTTGTGTGTGATAACTTGGGGATTTTCTAGGGGTAGAGGTTGCTGACCAGTCCATACTTTGCTATTTTTTAAATGTGCTGCCACAAAGGGCAGAAATAGTAAATGTGGATTTGAAATCTAGGGGAAGAGTTTAGGCTGGGGGAGTATCTGTCACCTGTCTAGAGCACCTTGGAAATATGGGTATAGATGAACTTCTCTGCCACAAGAATGGAGAGAGGGAAAGGAAAAGGAAACTGTGTTGAAATGGCTGTATTTGGGCTGTGAGAAGAGGAAATTGAGTCAGCAAAGCTGACATCAAAGGGTGACCAAAAAGAGAAGAGAATCAAAGAATCGTGGAAGACCAAGAGGGCAAGAGACATAGGTGATGGTCAACTGGTTAATTTGGATGGAGTTGGCAAGAGAAGCCAATGAAAAAGTCAAATTACAAGGAACAGAGGAGCAAAAAGGCAAATTGAATGCTATTTCCAAGAGCATATGAACATATTAAGACAAAACCCCAGATCGTACTTGTATATACAAAATCTTACTCCCTGTGTAGTTTGCTTCAGCCCTACCTCATTTCCCTTCTGTAGAAATTTTTTAAAGTTCCATACCAAGGAGCCAAGGAAAAGTTTTATAGGAAATTCACACTCAACTTTCATGCCCACTCCATGATTAGGAAAGATAATAGGCCAATGCTTCATCCTACATTTTATTTTAAATAAATATCACTAAAATTACTTAACCGGCTTCACTGGGGTGGGGAACTGAGTCTGGCCTTTCTGTAGGAATTCAAAATTGGAGTTGTTTAAATAGGCAAGATGCCAAAAAAGGGGACACTTTGGGAGGAGTGGGATCCCTCCCTCTCCAAGGAGGTCAGCAACATCGGGTGGACTAAGGGGCGGTAGACCTCATTGGAGGATGGAACCGCGGCTGCCTGCCTCTCCTCCCCACATTTTATTTCTTACCCCTGTGACTTGTGTGTGGACAGCTGTTTCGCACACCCTGGTAACATGCCTGGCATTGTCTGCATTTGTTTTTCCCTGTCAGGGAGCAGAAAGAAAAATCCGAGATGAAGAGAGGAAGCAGAACAGGAAGAAGGGGAAAGGCCAGGCCTCCCAAACCCAGTGCAACAACTGTGAGTGTGGCTGCGAAGGGGGGTGGGCTTCAGCCAGGCCAGGTCCCCCGAGGAATGGGTGGAAAGGAGTGGGTTGCAGGTAAAATATGCACGTCCGAGTTATCGCTGGGCTTCCCTCGTGGCTCAGGCAGTAATGAATCCGCCTGCAATGAGGGAGACCTGGGTTCGACCCCTGGGTTGGGAAGTCCTGGAAGAGGGCATGGCAATCCACTCCAGTATTCTTGCCTAGAGAATCCGCATGGACAGAGAAGCCTGGCGGGCTACGGTCCATGAGGTTGCAGAGTCAGACATGACTGAGCGACTAAGCGCAGCACAAGTTGTGACTAGCCAAGGCCATGGGGTGCACCATCCCTGTGAAAGGGAAATAGAATCATGTGATCACACGAGAGCTAGGAGCGAGGTTCTAATAGTCCAGAGACCAACATCCTCCTTCTCCAGACAAGAAATCTAGGGTGCAGAGAGGAGCACGAGATCACCCCCTCAGGAGTGCTCACTCCCAAGTCCACACTTTCCGCTGGTCTGGTGATGGGAGAGGGGAGATTTTAAAGTGTGTTCACACGTATGGCATTTGGGATGCTTCATAGGAGAAAATCGTGAACTTTAGCCAAGACTAGAGCTTACAAGTGAGAGTTCTTAAGTCATCTACAGCCCTCGCACTTACGGGTTTTGTGATCGTGCCCAGCCTCTGATGGGAAGTTGGCAGCGATACCGTTACAGAAGAAGAGCGACATCACCTACTTCAAGACGATGCCTGATCTGCACTCCCAGCCCGTCCTCTTCATACCTGATGTTCACTTTACAAACCTGCAGAGGACAGGACAGGTATGGCCGACCCGCTCACATCTACCTGCCATCCATCCCCTGTGCAGGTAGAGCCTTAAGAGAGCATCATATCCGGCGCTATTGACCTGAGAAATAAAACCCATGCATTCGACCAGGAGTCACCCATTTCCTACAGAAAATGTAATTTTATAGAAAGGAATGTCTCAGGAGAGGAAACCAACTTACTAAGGGGAAGGTGAGAGTGAGCTGATAATAGTGAAGTGTTGACAAAGCAATGAAAGAGGAAGAAAGTAAGAAGGCTGATAACCTGTAAGGCAAGTTTTGTTAGTTTTGTTCTGTGGGATCCTCATGATGCAATAGGGCTCCATCTAATGGTGGGAAATTGAACTGCACCCATTGGAAAGTTGCTTAAGAGGAAAATTCTTTGATTAAATAAACTGTTAAAAACTTTTTCTTAGTAAATTGACAGTTACTGTTGAATAGGTAAATTATTTTAAACCAAAATAAAAATGAGATTGTAGACAAGCCTTTTAAAAGATAATTTCTGTCTTCTAGTTCTAGTTACAAGTGAAATTATAGAGATAATATTATAATACATAAACATCCAATAATTAGCTCCTTATGGTAGCTCATGTTAATGATATGTTATGCAGCCACTAAAATTATAATTAGGAAAACTATGTAGCAACATAGGAACTAGTTATGATAATGTTCAGTGGGGAAAAGGTAGAATATTCATTTGTGTCTACACTGTGGTTCCAAATACTGGGTTGGCCTGAAAGTTCATTTGGAGTTTATGCAAGATGTTACAAGAAAAATTGTAATAATTGGTGAGTATTAAGAGGTGGATATGTATTTTTTTCTTTTTGTAATGTCCTTAGTATTGTCTATTTTATGTGATAAATTAAAATTGGTTAAAAAAAATTACTTCCCTAGCATTAGCCAGAATTGTCTTTCTGTTGAGAAAGAGGTGCATAGTGACACATTCAAGTTTTTCTTCCGTTCTAGTGTTAAGATATTTATTGGAATTGACCTTAGTCTAGGAGCAGAAATCATTATTGGCTTAACTTTCTTGAGAATATTTTGTCCCCATGCCATTTTATTTTGTGTATGAGACAAAACAGTAATACAACCAAAACTTTTTAGTTGGTGTTTTTAACACCAACTAAATATGGGTAGCAGAATATCCCCTAGTTTTTTCCTTAGAGTGCCTTGCATTAAAGTTTAACATTCTCATCTTGTCTTACTTGTCTGATAGGAAAAAGACATGAAGATGAAAGGAAGAACGTTATGATTTATTAAGACATGCGTGCCAGCCCCTAATTTTACATTTTAATTCCCAAGAACATGGTGATTTGTGTATTTACAGTCTTTGTAAATACATGATATATTTTGAAGCTAGGTAGTCACACCTTTAGGAGAGAGGGGATGATTGAGTTAAACTGCTCTCACTGTTTACTATTATGATTCTGGCTTTAACCCTATGTCAAAGCTGACAGCCTGACCTGTTCTCTTGGCAAGATTTCCCTAAAATACGCAAAGCTGTAAATGAATCTTAAGAGGAAAACTGACCAAATGTGACAGCTCGTGACTGTCTCTGGCCTCACTTGCCCCCTCTGTGTCCTGAGCAGGACTCCCAGCCTGTGGCTGAGCAGAAGGAAAGTGTAGTCTTTGCCATTTGTTGGTTTCAGCAGTTTGCAAAGCAGCCCAATCAGCGTCCCCTGGGGCATCAGCAACGTTTAAGTCCTGCTGTCCTTGAAGAGCCTCAGGCTTTCCCTGTGGCTTTGGAGTCAGAATGTAGGGGGTCAGGGAGGGAGCCTGCTGAGCCCCGGGTGACGAAGGGACACACTCTTCTGTGCACTGGGTCAGTGCGTGAATATCCCGCGGTTGATCAACGTGCTCGGCTGAAGGAAAAGAGCACCTGCAGTGGCCGGTCAGAAAAGGCTGCCTGTTCTGAGAAAAGTTAGGAGTCTTGGGGGATGAGTCCAGAGGCAGGAGGGAAGAGGCCAGTGCTGTGATGTTGGAAGTGGGCAAGGGACTGGGCTTGGCAAGCTTCGACAGTTCAAACGAGAGCCAGCTGTGGCCGCTCACGAGCTGGCCCGGTTCCCCCAGGAGGGAGCAGGGATGGAAGGGAGGAAGGCAGGTGATGCTCAGTAACCGCTACTGCTATGGACCTGGCAAAGTCAGCCGCGTGGCCACCCTTCAGCTGCCAAACAAGCAGCCGGCTAGCTTTCACTGTCAGCCCACATGTCCCCCAGTCCCTCACTGTCTCATTGATTCACTCGTGGGTTGAAATATTCACCAGATGGTTATCAAAAACTCATAGGAGGGCACTGTTACCGAGTCCATGCTCACTCTGCTCCCTGCACGACAGGCCAGTAAATCAGAGACAAGGAATGCGGAGGCAAGGAATACGACATTATTCAGAAAGCAAGCAGACCAACAAGGTGGCAGACTAGTATCTCCAAATGACTGTCTTCTCTGGGCCTGGATGCCAGTTTCTTTTATAGAACAGAGATGGGGAGGAGGTGAGGAAGTAAAATAAAAAGGTCATAAGTCTTGCAAGTATCTCCTGGAATGGCCAGCCTGAGGAGGGTGGTGGGGAGGTGGGATGGGGACAGGTTGTGTTAATATCTTATTTTTTTGTAAAATTCACAGAGGGGCAGGGTTCCCCAGGCAGGCCTTTTAGTAAACAAAAGCAATGGGGAAGGAAAAGTTAAAGAAACAGATCCACTATGGAGTCAGATTCTGTTCTCCCCTGAAACAGCATGAACCCAGCGTGCAGGCACAGTGAAGGTCTTTGGTTTCCGTCTCCCCGCATTAAAGCCCGGATACGCATGGTGCCTTTTGTCAAGAACCCTTGAAGAGAAGTGATAGAGGAGCTTGGGAGAAATTGTGGGATGCAGAGGCATAATTCCTCTGGATCATGTGTACTTGGCAGGTATCAGCCTTCCTCAAGGCACCTGAAACCAGGGAGGACATCCCTTCTCCCTCACACCCTCAAGAACCATCTCCCTGACTTGTGGCTTGTGTGAACCACCTCCGCCCAAATCACAGGCATTCTTGATAAGAATTCAGGTTCTCAAAAGGTTCATTCCAGGTCTTTCAAATTAAAATCTCCAAAGGGGAGCCTGGGAATTTGCGTTTATGAGAAGTTCTCCGGATGGTTTTTATGTATTCTGAAGTTTGAGAACACTGTGTAAAAATTAAATTTGTGCGTTAAGCACTATGGCCGACCAGGAGGAAAGGGTGGGTCATCCTCTGCGAAGAGGAGGAAAAATGTCAGTGCCGGGCGGTGACGGGGACAGTGCAATAGAGCCGCTCAGGAAGCCAGGAGGACACTTAGGAGAAGGCTGCTTCTGGTTCTGGATCACCAGTCCCCTTCGCAGAGGGCTGTCCATTATCCGACCTGGTTGGTGAAGCAGGGCGGATGTATTATGCCACATTTCAAGAAAGCATCAGGCACTTTCCCCCGAATCTAGTCTTGGGTCCAGTGCTATGGCCCAGGCTCCCCGGCTTATGTGAGTCCCCCTGGATTCATCTAAATAAACGGTCCATTATGAGCATAACCAGTGCTCCGATGCCCCTGAAACTTGGGGCGTGGGGAGGAAACGTCTTGCTTTCATTGCCTCATGTTTAAGAAGAAAGGATACAATGCAACCATAGACATTAAAAAGTTTCAGAGGAAAAGTTCCCCGTGGAAGCCTCAGCTAATGACTAGCATGGCTCATTCTTGGAGAGCTCCAGGCAACAATCTCTGTCGTATAACTAAGTCCGGGCTTGGCCGCAGCCTGGAAACTGGCAGGAGCCTTTGAGAAAGTCTATGTGGAGGGTGTTGGTCTCCACACAGCTGTTTCTCACCCAGGCAGCTGTGGCAGGGCCGTTGATGAAATGGACAGGAACCCAGAGGTGATTTTTAAAGTTCAGTGTGTGAATGTCGGATACTAACCAGTGTCATTCTTCACCCAAATGAAAATGATCCTGAAGCACATAGTTAAAGCTCTTGAAAGGCCCACAATTAATTGCCATAAATAACTGGGTGAAGGGGACTTAACATACACAGCAGCTCCCCCTCTGGATTTCCAGAGCTGCATAAAATAACAAGGATGCTTCATAATGTCTTTAAATCTGATTAGGCCCATTGCCATGCTGACCACCTAAAGAAGTCTCTTTCCCTTCTGGCCAGAACTCCTCCTATAGCCAGAAACACCTTCTAGGGCTAGGTGACATTTCCTGACCTGAAGATAGTTGACTCCTAGATTTTTGTGGTCGTGGGACCAGGGTAGCCCAAGTCCCTTTGGGAAATAAACAAAGGCCTGGGCTTACTTTCTGGAACTTGCTTCCCTCTCTTTACCAAAGAATACTGGTCTGGAATCAGCTCCTCTGTGGACTGGGTGGGATTGGTTACTTACAGGCCCTGTGCCAAGGCCTTTCTAAGCAATGATTTTTAGATCTTACTAAAATATTTCCTTAATGTCTAAAGCAAGGTTTGGCTTTGGGCTATAGGTAATTTGATCAGACTGATTTGAGCTAGAAATAGTTAGATTTCTAATTTCAGTTCATTAACATCTAAGAATTAACCTAAGGAGACTGTTGAAGAGGTTAAATTTGTATTGGGCACACACAGATTTGTATGAGACACACACAAATGGTTAAACAGATTTGCCTTTTTTAAGAGACAGTGTAATGTCTTAGGAAAGTCTGTGCATCACGTGATATATTTCCATTTCTTGTGCCTGACCTACAGTAAGTCTGCTGTTTTGTTCTACAGGTGTATTACAACACGGATGATGAACGAGAAGGGTAAGACATTCAGGCTTTTCACTTCAACACCCAAAGTCAGTTCCTGTCAGTAGAAATGGGTTTCCAAGCACAGGGTAATGGGACAGGGAGTGGGAACGTCCTTTCAGCCCCAGACTCAGAGCTAGAAAAGGCTTGACTCCAAGGATTGTTTGGGAGAAGGCTGGGGAGTAGTACCATTCTCCTTCCAAGTTTCTCATCTCTTTTTTATTTTTATTTTTGGCCGCACCTCATAGCATGTGAGATCTTCCCCGACCAGGGATCAAACCTGCGGCCCTTGCTTTGGAAGCACGGAGTCTTGGGGGCTGCTAGGGAAGTCCCCAAGTTTCTCTTTACCCCTCTGTCCTTCCTATGATCTGCCTTTGAAGTGGTACATCTCTTTGATTCCACCCTTTCACTGCTAATCCAGTTACTGAAATCTTTGTCCCCAACACAAGATCGAGTTGAGCTCCAGGCAGGAGCCAAGGAGACAGCCTGTCCTCCTTTCAGTGCTACCTGGCCCCCTCCCCACCCCCGCACATCCCTCGCGCTGGGGAGTGAGCTGCCTGGGCTAGTGGCGAGGCTGGTTTAGATGGGAGCTAGGAGACTGAGAACCTGGTCACCGTCTTCAGGACTGTAGGGAAGAGAGGGCTTACACAGCGGCGCTGTGGCTCCCAGTGTCTTGCGCATCAAGTCACTGCATAGTGCTTTTCTGTTCATTAACTCATTGTGTAGACTCCTAGAATTTTGGAGCCAGAAAGGAACCCTCAAGGTCGTTTAGCTGATCATATTCCCAGGCCATATAGTACAATATACTACATCCTTGATAGGTGGTCAGCCAGCTTATACTTGAATGTTCCCAATGATGGGAATATTCTCACTGTAGGAGACAGCTCATGACACTATTGGACAGTTCCACCTCCAGAAAATTACTTTGTTGAACTGATGTTGCCTTCTTTTGACTGATACGCATTGGCTCTAGTTCTTTCTGGATAAGTCTCAACCTTTCCTCCTCATTCAAATGTTGTTTTACCTCTCAACATCTTAATTCCCCCGCCAGGGGGTACCACCAGATTTGTTATTGGTCTCCTTAAAATTGGCTCTCAGAAGTACACGTGTTCTAAACCACATGAGTTGGAGATTATATTGAGATCATTTCTTCTTGTCCCCTGGATGCTGTTTGTCTCTTTAAAGCAATCTAGAACTACATTCATTTTTCATCATGTCACACCACTTACAACTGAAATCTTGGTTCGCATTAATTATATGTGTATAACTAAACTCTCTAGATCACTGTTTTTCAAACTATGGTCAAACCAGGGCTTCCCTATTCTTAGGCAATATTTCCTTGTGCAACATTTCAAAATGAAGTCAAGTGAAGCAGATAGTCTCAAGTTCTTTTCCAAAGCAGACCTTGGCAAACTGTAGCCTAAGGGCCAAATTGAGCTCCCCCCACCCCCACCCCCACCGCCCCCGTCCCACCGCAACATGCCACTTCTTTTTGTACTGTCTGCATATTTTCAAATGGTTGAAAAAATCCAAAAGAAGAATAATATTGCATAACACTTGAAAATTATGAGATTCAAGTGCACACAGTCACATTTAATTGGCAGGCAGCCACGTGAACGCCTCCAAGTCTTGTCTCTGGCTGCCTTGGTGCCTCAATAGCAGAGCTTCAGCAGAGCTCAGTAGAGAGACGCTGTCGTAGTTGCCACAGACGGTCTAGCCTGGAAAGTCTAACTATTTACTTTCCAGCAGAAGTGTGCCACCCTCTGTCCTTAAGGAGAGAGAATCTCAGAAGAGCCTAATAATTCCCTAGTTGGTCAGGAGCAGAGCCTTGTCCGGGATCTGACCTCCAAATTCTGAGTTCTAAATTTTCTAAATACCTAGTTAGATTGTTCTTTTTATCTTGGTGGAGAGGTCATATATTCTAGTGATAGGAATGAACAGAAACAATTAGCGCCCATCAGTTCTAATCTGTTGTTCACATGGTTCCCAAAGGACAGGTGGTGTCATGGAAGGAACGATGACTCTCAGCCGGGGAAGCCCCCGTTCTCCTGGGCTGCTGCTCCCCCGTGGGAAGCCTGGGACCGCATCCCTGACCTCTGGGTTTTGGTGTTCTCCATTGTAAAAGGAGGATTTTGCAGAAGAGGATCTGTGAGATCTCTCATGAGGAAATTGAGGATCGGGGGATCTGGTCTCTGTCTCCATCTGACCCCTAGTTCCTGGAAAACCCTTCTTGCCTTGATCCTCTGTCCACACTCATCCTCACTGGGATGCCCACATTCCAGCCTTCCGTGAGGTCCCCTCAAGTCTTTCTTTTCTGTGGCTCACACACTGCATTTAGGGCACAGGGTTTCTTGGCGAATCTGGGCTTCCTTGGGTCTGGAAAAACAGTGATTTCCCTTCAAGAACTTGCCATTGCCTGATGCTGCATGGGGCACTCAGCCCGCAATCCTCTCCAAGAATTTCTCTTATTTTTGCTTCTTCTCAAAGGCATGCCAGTATGTCCTTTGGGGCCACCTTGTGTAATCTCCTCAAAGGCTGGTAGGTCGGTTTAGTCCCTAAGTCGCGTCTGACTCTTGCAACCCCATGGACTGTAGCCCACTAGGCTCCTTTGTCCATGAGCTTCTCCAGGCAAGAATACTAGAGTGGGTTGCCATTTCCTTCTCCAGGGGATCTTCCTCAACCAGGGATAGAACCCGGGTCTCCTGCATTGTAGGCAGACTCTTTACCAACAAGCCACCAGGGAAGCCTTAAAGGCAGAGTCTTTAGGAAAATAAAAGCCAGGAGGAGACAAATGTAAAGCACCGCAAGTCTGAATTTGATTCCATCACAGCTCAGAGAGTCAGCCCTCCAAAGTGACTTCACTCATCAGCCTCTGAATGACTGGAGCAGAGAGCCTTGCCTTTCCTCTCATAGATGCTGCCAGACCAAACCCTGAGCTTGGTTACAGTGTTGCTGAGCAAGAGGCAGTTCTGGGTGGTTATTTTCTACCCAGAACACTTTGGCCAAAATTCAGTACACTTTGGAGAAGTTAGAGATTGTTAACCAATCACCAGTGAGTACATTAATCAACATAATATTAAACCTAAGTATTCATCACCCTGTGTTCATCAGCACAAAATAAAGTTCTTCTAGAATTCTGCCTTATTTCTCTTAAAGGAGCAATTTCCTGGAGGACCAAGCACTTTTCTTTGATAAGGGCCTCAGGGATGGTAAGCAAACCACGAGATGTAGGATATGTTGGGCTATGTCTTAACCACATATACATGGATACCAGGTGATTACAATACAGGACAATTTCCCCAGGAGAATATGAAAGCATAAACTAAAGCTTTTGGGCCACCTTGAATAGGTAAACTTTTTTTGAATATAGCCAAAAGAATCAAGGATCTGTTGATACTTTTTTTGTTAATTTACTTTGTTTAATATGCATTTAAAAAGTAACATATAATTTAGACATGAGGTCCCCTCAAGTCTTTCTTTTCTGTGGCTCACACACTGCATTTAGGGCACAGGGTTTCTTGGTGAATCTGGGCTTCCTTGGGTCTGGAAAAACAGTGATTTCCCTTCAAGAACTTGCCATTGCCTGATGCTGCATGGGGCACTCAGCCCGCAATCCTCTCTAAGAATTTCTCTTATTTTTGCTTCTTCTCAAAGGCATGCCAGTATGTCCTTTGGGGCCACCTTGTGTAATCTCCTCAAAGGCTGGTAGGTCGGTTTAGTCCCTAAGTCGCGTCTGACTCTTGCAACCCCATGGACTGTAGCCCACTAGGCTCCTTTGTCCATGAGCTTCTCCAGGCAAGAATACTAGAGTGGGTTGCCATTTCCTTCTCCAGGGGATCTTCCTCAACCAGGGATAGAACCCGGGTCTCCTGCATTGTAGGCAGACTCTTTACCAACAAGCCACCAGGGAAGCCTTAAAGGCAGAGTCTTTAGGAAAATAAAAGCCAGGAGGAGACAAATGTAAAGCACCGCAAGTCTGAATTTGATTCCATCACAGCTCAGAGAGTCAGCCCTCCAAAGTGACTTCACTCATCAGCCTCTGAATGACTGGAGCAGAGAGCCTTGCCTTTCCTCTCATAGATGCTGCCAGACCAAACCCTGAGCTTGGTTACAGTGTTGCTGAGCAAGAGGCAGTTCTGGGTGGTTATTTTCTACCCAGAACACTTTGGCCAAAATTCAGTACACTTTGGAGAAGTTAGAGATTGTTAACCAATCACCAGTGAGTATATTAATCAACATAATTTTAAACCTAAGTATTCATCACCCTGTGTTCATCAGCACAAAATAAAGTTCTTCTAGAATTCTGCCTTATTTCTCTTAAAGGAGCAATTTCCTGGAGGACCAAGCACTTTTCTTTGATAAGGGCCTCAGGGATGGTAAGCAAACCACGAGATGTAGGATATGTTGGGCTATGTCTTAACCACATATACATGGATACCAGGTGATTACAATACAGGACAATTTCCCCAGGAGAATATGAAAGCATAAACTAAAGCTTTTGGGCCACCTTGAATAGGCAAACTTTTTTTGAATATAGCCAAAAGAATCAAGGATCTGTTGATACTTTTTTTGTTAATTTACTTTGTTTAATATGCATTTAAAAAGTAACATATAATTTAGACATATCTGTCATGTTTTGTGAAACTTTTATTTGAATTCTTCACAATTCATAACATCAGTATCTTTCTCATCCTTCAAGTTACTTTTTATGTCATCTCATACTACTTATCAAAGCAATTCTTTGCTACTTTCAAAGTTGAGATACAGAACTTTTAAATCCATATATACAGGATTGTCTTTAGAAATTCTATCCTAAGCCACAAATATTGATTCTTGTAATATTACAGTTATATAAGTGACTGCCACCATGTTGCCTCTTATTTTTAAATTTTGTTTTTAATTAAATTTCAAGATAATTGTTGATTCACATGCAGCTATAAGAAACCCACCCTCTTTTCTTTTTTTTGCCACACTGCACAGCCTGTAGGATCTGAGTCTCCCCAACAGGGACTGAA